AATTTCTTGCAAGAAAATGTCAAAAGTAAGGTTTTGGAGTACACACCATGGATCATCATAACCTGCAGGACTAGAGCTGTAGATGCATTTAGTTTCACCCAAATTCTTGAAACTGGAGTTAAAACTGAAAATATGTATCTGTTAGTTTGAAATGGTAGTAGTGGAATGTTGCAGACTAAATGTTAGTAAACTGATCAGGATTTAACTCCAGAATTGTGGGGATTTTACGATCATCCTGCTAAACACTGTAGGCCCTGCTGGTTTGCTCAGACAAAGGGACAGAGCTGCACGTGTTGGATTTACTCTGTTGTATTTGTTGCCTTCCTTCTCTTCCTTCACCTCTCCAAATTATGGCTCCGTATAAGATCGATTAGTGTAAACTGCTGCTCATTGGGTTTAAGAGGAACAATTTTTTGCAGCTCCTTCACACTGATTTGAAAGGGAAAAAAAACCCACCAAACATTCTGCTTAATTAAGACCTAAAGAGGCGGTGCAAACTTTTGATGATTAATTGAAGCATGCTTTAGACTGATGCATATTTAGTTATTATAATGTGATAATTTTATCTTGTTATACAAACTACTCCCTTTGGGAACATGATTTAACACTGCAAACACTCTGTGTTTATTGCATTGTTCATTATGAAAAATGCACAGGCTAAAAACCACAAGGAGATGTATCTGAACAGTCTGTGCGGTGAGTGCAGGGAGTACTTCTTCCACCTGTAATGACACAACCCAGGGGCAGAAAAACACGGTATTGGAACTCCCACAATAGCTCTCACTATGAAGAGCTGAGAACACAGAAAAGCGAAGGCTGGAAATTCAGATCTTGTAATGTATGTGGAAGGAATATGTCTTTTTCTTGGTGTAATTACAGAAGACAGCGGTACAGATGTTGTGCTGAAAACTCTCCAGTTTCTATTCAGTTGTCTCTATGCCAGCTCCTCTTTGTCTCACCTCTTTGAGTACCCATGCTACCTGCCATAAGCATGACAGATCCGAGAACACGCTAAGCACATTGCAAGAGAGGGTCATAAAGTTGCAAGCCTTGATGGAGAAAAATACATGGTTGTTAAAATATATGGTTGTTTTCTTTCACTTCAAAATGATCTGTACCAGGACTTGTAAATGTTATTTTTGTAGTTTACAAACGTGTCAGCCTAGCTGTGTGAGTCCTGAAAGCAATGGTGAATGATCTTCATCAGAAGAGCTGCTTCAGCGAGAGCTCACAGGATAGACATAGGCATGCTCTCAGGATGAGCTCATGTTGCTCAAGCAGATATGCAAAGGTAGACTACCAGCAAAAGTTTCTGTGAGCAAAGGAGAGTATTGCTAATGTAGCATACCAATATAATTATTGTGGAGAGGCTTTCTTAGTGCAGATCTCACCAGAAAAAGATTAGAATAAAATTCAAGACAGAGGAGCAGTTGCAAACTACCAGATTTAAAATTCTCTGCTTCCCTGTGTTCTCCTCGTGGAAGGTTCTTCTTGCTGAGTGCTCTAGGGATTAGGATTTGATACTTTTTCCTGAAAGAACAGCAAGAGCCTGATAAAGTGATTTTTAAAGAATTTGGCCTTACAAACTGAAGTCTGTGAAAAAGTGAGAGGAATTTTATCTTGAATGGAAGATATGAATTTCTGGTTTCAGATTATTCCCATTTGCAGTTAGCAAGAGACCACAATGAAATCACGAGACTTTGACTTTTCTTATTTCACACAGCCTTAATGTTTTGAGTTTAAGTTATTGCTTCGCACTGCTGTGGACTGCAATAGTAGAAATACACAAACTATTGCTTTTCCATTCATGTTGCAGTCATCTTTTTCAGTAACAAAGCTTAATACATTGTAATGAAACATCCCTCTTAGTTGTTTTCACAAGGTCTGCACAGACCTTGACCACAACCAGTGTCAAGGAAAGTACTCCATCACGTTTGGACCTTTGTCATTGTCCCCAGCTGTCACCCACATCCACAGGCCATAGGGCATGGCTCTGTGCCTGTCCCAGGTACCAAAGATGGGTCCTTTTCTCTGCCATGTTCTCTTCACCTGAAGCTGAAAGAAAGGATTTGATTTTAGAGCAAGTCTTCCTTCCACTGGGCTGCACAGGGCTCTTGTTGATGGTCCATAGGAAATCAGTCAGGTGATCTGTATGTTTTCTTTTTTCACCTGATGAACTGCATTACAAGAAGTTAAGAGTTGGATCAATATTTGACTTGGGCAAATGGACACCTGAGGGAGCAAAGATGACTTAAAACCTGACATATTAGTGGACTATTCCAGGAAGCTAATCCTGCAGACTCCCTTCTGAAGTACTGCTGTTTCCTTGCTGCTTCACATGTCCAGACTCAGTTCATCACTTTGTAGCAGTGTTCATAAGTCTATTAAATGGAAAAGGCATCCAGTTTTATTATCACTGTTACTATTAAAAGGATTATATTTTATGTGACCATTCTTTATTGATGGAGGTGAGAAGGGAGTAGAAGAGAGAAATAATTGAAGTTCTGTATTTAGGCAGACTCTTTCTTTCTCCCTTCATTCTTTCAAAATGCTGAATGTTTTGATTTATATTGATGATGCTTCCTGGATATCAGCTGTCTCTTCCTGGAAGCACAGATGGCTGGAAGTAGTAGATTGTGGACCATTTGCTGCTGGTTTATTGACTGTCAGATCCATGGACCACAAATGAAACAATGCTGCTTCAAAGGATTTTCCTTGAGGTGGTGGTGAAGTTCTGCTGGTCAGGGCATGGAAGACAGCAACTTGACAGAGCAGGCCTCTCCTCTCCTCTCCTCTCCTCTCCTCTCCTCTCCTCTCCTCTCCTCTCCTCTCCAGCTGGAGATTCCATCTTCTGTTGTCCCAATGCCTTCAAAGGGACAAGCTCAGTCTGTAAGGAATTGGTTTATTATGGTGCAAAAGTAGCTGAATCAGGGCAACTCTGTAGAAGCTTTGTACTTCAAATAGCTCAGGATAAAAAAGAGGGGAAGAGCTCTTGGGCCGTGGGAGAGTAGTTAGCATCCTGGCCAAGACTGGACTGGAGAGAAAGCTGCGGTGATGCTGTGCACCACCACCATAGCAGCACCCCATGCTCCTGTGTGCCTGCTGAGATTACAGCCAGCTCAAGGGCAGGCTGCTTCACCCTAAAGATGGCTAGGGATAATTTTGGCCAAATTGTTTTGATTTCCCTTGATGAAAACCTATATGAAAGCATTTATAATATTGGCAAATCCCACTCTAAAGGGTAAGTGATAAAATACATTAAACACAAATCGGTGTAATAACTTAGCCTTACATATAGGCTTAAAGGTACACAGTCTGATTAAAACTAAAAGGTCATTATTTTACATTGTACAATTTTAGTTGTGGCTATAAATCATAACACAATTTGTGGAAAGAAAAAAGTTATTAAACTGGCAATATTTATTCCGTTAAGGTGAATAAAATGCAGCACGTACTTCTGAGTTATGATAGCAGGAAAAGGAGCCAAATCACTCTGCTAAAAATTAGTTTGCCAATAATTTTACAGAACGATGACAGCATAGCTTCAAAAACAAATCCTTTATAGGGAAATGGGATGGCTGCATGACAGACTCTCTGAGCTATGAATTCTCCACAGCTCATGGACCAGGAACTGCTTTAACAATTAGTCTTAGGGGATTTTTTTCCCCAGAAGTTAGACAATGGCTGCTGTCTGTAACTGAAAGGTCACGCTGTATCACAAACTGGACATAAGAACTGAAGAATTCTGAGTTTTAAGTTAGAAAGATTGCTGCTAACTTACTGTCTTGAGCAGTTTAGGAGGCTTAACTATTCACTGCCCCTGTCTGTGAAGCTGGGGTGGGAGTGATGACCATATGAGGATATCGCTAGCACTTTAGTAGTAAGCCCTGGGGATTTTCCACATGGCAGAAGGCACACATGCCACATTCATAACACACGTTAGAGAAGAGCTCAAAAGAGGCTGGGGAACTCTGCTTGGATTAAAGTGTGGCTGATGAGCATGGTGGCTGGGAAGTAATCTGTCAGACTTTACCGCAGTGCTGCGTCTTCCTCCTTGCTCAAGTCTGCATTTCTGTGACTGCGATACTGACACGAAAGCTCCTCGTTTTGCACACCAGTCATTAGCCCGAAACAATGCAGAAAAGGGATATTTCATGTTCCTTTTTATTTAGAAGAGGGCTCTTATTAGAGACGTGCCTTGGTGCAGTACCTTCTAAGTGTGTTTTATCACCAGCTTGCTGAGCAGAACATCTCAGGGGCTCACTACAACAGACTGTAAGTAACAAGAACAAAGCAGCAATATTCATTAAGCCTCTAGTCTTGGTTACCCGTTTAATAAAGTGTTGTGCACTCTTAAACATGCTAAAAGGCTCTCGAGATTTCCAGAGCTTTTCAGCAATGCACCATTTTTTAAGCTAATAAAATTTTCCAGCCATCTTAGAAGCTTTGCTGGTCTGCCAAGCGTGGCTGGCACAGGTCACCGGCTGCCTGAGGATGAAGCTGGTTGATCACAGGCATGCACAGTTCTGCTCTCAGTGAGGAAGCTGGAAATAAGATGAGCCAGTGCTGGTTGTATCTAAGAATAAGTGTGCAGATGTCTGAGTAAGGTGTTTGCATCTCATGTAAACATTGTTCTTATATTTTTGTTGTAGAAGATGATGTGTCAAATGTACAAATAATGTGTGCCTGGTGCCAGAAAGTTGGAATCAAGCGCTATTCCCTGAGTATGGGAAGTGAAGTGAAATGCTTCTGCAGCGAGAAGTGCTTTGCAGCTTGCCGAAGAGCATATTTCAAGAGAAACAAGGTAAGAGAAATAAGGAAAGATGTAAACTACATAGACATAACTTTAATCAGGCTCAGCCTGGGTTTCATTTAGCATCTAACAGAAGCTCTTTTCTTTTGTTTTCTCTGTTTCACCTAGTACTTCCACTTTCCATCTGTACTGTCTGTTGGACTGTCAGCCCTTTACTAACCACGTTTCTTTCAGTATCCTTCAGCTTGATGCTTGCGTTTTCTGAGAGTCAGGGAATTTAAATACTAATAAGCATCAACATAAGAGTCCCAGTTTGGCCTTAGTCTCAAGGTACTTACTATATGTACGTAATTAAGAGGAGATATCATGGAAATAGAGTAGAGGATAGTTGCATACGACAGCATCAGTAAGTCCCATGGCATTGGGATCATGGCCAGTTAGTAAATGCTTTTGAGGCCCAAGTCTGTGTCCCATCATGATAGCAGACATCTTCCCACTGCTGCTCGTGAGCTCCAGTTTCATTCTTTTAAAGTGTATCATTACTAAATTGTCATTGCTGCAAAATTCAGACACCATACAGTTTTTAGGTTTGGGGTAAGCAATGTTAGAACATCTAGAGTAGCGTGAAAACCCCTCCTACTCAATTTAAATTTAACTCTGTCTAAAATCAGAATGCAATCCTAATATTGAATGTCTACAAAAATTGCTGTAATCCCTGAAGTACAGTGCCTGAAAATGCCCTCTAGGTTACTTCAGCATCTGTTTTTCTGCAGCAGAATGTGTGATACATCATTTAAAGAAAAATAATGAAAGAACGCTCCAGCATTTTTAGCTGTTGAAAAAGTAGCTGTGTCCTTTTGGTGCTTAATAGTGTGAGTGTTCAGATAGCCTTTACTGTCTTAGACATGTTTACTATTTAAAAACCCCTTTTATCTTGTTTTCCTAAATGATGCCGTTTTCCCTCACGCTACAGAACATTCAAAGCTTGTCAAATTCAAACTGAATTCAAGTCTCTAAGTCTGGTCTTTTACATCTGTGGTAATAACAAAAAAGTTAGATCCTAGACTGAAGATGCAACATTATAGCAAATTACCCTGCTTTATAAATTTGGGTCACATCATATGGCCAATAAAAAAAAAAGGGAAAAAAAATGCCTGCAGAATTAGGTTGCAAAAATCAGTAGAGTGGAATTTTAGTGGCAGTCTTGGAGAATCAAGCTCATAATGTCTGCTGGAGCAGACAGGCAAGATAAAGTCACGTGAGTCTTCTGCAAGGGTTGGTGTTTACATCGTTTTTATCTAGAAGAAGTGTAGAGGAGCATACATGCTCCTTAGATGCTCCTCATTTGAAAATAAGTTCCTGTGGATGTATGTGTATGTGCACACAAGCACTTTTACCCAAACATGGTTCAATGTGCCTTACAATGTGTAAGACGCTCTGGGGTGACAGGATCCAGATCACCACTAGCTGGTGGTCCCATGACTTTTAGTCACAAATTTACAGGAGTAAGGTAGTTCATAGTAATGGAGGCATTGACAGTGATCCTAGTTAGGTAGCCCTGTGTGTGTCCAGCAGTGGTGAGTACCAGATAATTCATGAAACCTTGGGGATGCAGATGAAAGAACAACCAGTTTGTAGTGGATTCTCTTCCATCTACAGCTTAGATCCTGAAATAGGAAGTTTTGATCCCTTACTAAATGAAAATAAATACATGTTAACATAATGCATAGGTGTACTTCAACCTTCTATTAACACATGGGTTTTAGGATTCAGTAACAGTTTATGGCCATGAGTTCAATCTGTCAGGCAATATATGGAAAAGTTCCAATTTACAATTTGTTAGTTATGTGCTTTGTTGGAGGCCTCCTTGTCCTTGTATTATGAGAGAGAACGAATTAGAGCATCTCATTCTGCCTGCTTCCCTTTCCCACACCCCTGTTGACTTCTTCTGAAAGCTAAAAGATCCTGAGTATTTCCACCCCGAAAGCTCTCTGCATTCATTATTGTGTATATATCTAAGAAACAATAGATGTTCCTAATCTTTTCATATACAATCATATCCCAGTGAAATGTCCTATTCTTCACTAAAGAAATTGCAAATTAACACAGTGTCATATGGGAGGACTTGCCAAAATATGGTGAGATAACATATGATTGATAACATGTTGGTTGCTGCATTGGCTCCATTTCAAAGCTAAGCCAGTGAGTCAAATTTTCTTCCTCTTTGCACCTGTGGAATCTGGAATTGCACAGGATCTGACCCAGCAAGGGAAATCTGGAGCTGCCCCTTGCATGTGTATTTATGGCATTAGGTGATCAGGAGACAGAATATTGAGGACATGTTGCCCATATAATTAATACAGGTATAGTAGAATTCAGAAGACACTCACGCTTCTTGTTTTGCTCTTGACCTGGTAGTAACAGAGCAGAGTCTTGAGGAACAAGATCAAAGGAACAAAGCTGCAGTAGTTTCAGGTTTAACTGCTGACCTTTAGTCTGTTATGACCAGTCCAAGAGCATACCTGTCTTCTCCATGAGACTAATTCTTATTTATTTATTAGAGAAGTTATGCCACTCTACACTTTCTCATTTTTCAAACAGAGGAATAAAATAATGTTTCACCTGCCTTATGTATGTTTTAAACAGCAAATCTCCACCACAATATAGTTTTGTATTACGTTAAATATGTACAGCTGCTGCATTTCTGAGAGCTGATAGGACTTTGTGGTCGCTTCATTTAAGGCTTGAATTTCCTAATGGATTGTGTTAAGCAGTCTTCCCTCCCTCCCCTAGATAAGAAGTGCTGTAATAAGTGCTTGCTTAAAATGATAGGACTGTTTAAACAGTAATGAATAAGTCATCACTTATGTTTCAAAATGACACTTAAGTAAAGCTGCAAATTATCTGCCCCTGAATGCCAATTGCTCTGTTCAGAATTAGGACTTTTGTCATCTTCCTAATAACAAAATCTTCTCCCATACACAGGGCAAATGCACGCTGAAGCCATGCATGCCCACACATTACTAGCTGGGAGAAGGCTTGGCATGAGACCACCTTAGCATGTCCCTGGAGAGCAACAGAAGTGCTCCAAAAAGGCCCAGGTTAGCTGGACGCTGACTGCTCCCAACCTCTAACTCCTTCCCAGCCCTGTCCTGCAGTAGGTTTAGCAAGGGTAGCAATGCACTGCAATAAGCTGGTACTTTGCTAACCTCAGGATCATTTCAATCCAACCAGTTTAGTTGGAGATGCACGCCAGCCTTTCCTGCCTGTTGTCCCAGCAGCATTGTGTCCATTTGTGCTCCAGAAGTTGTGCCTTTGCACCCTCTGTATGTCAGTTTATAAGGAAAAAGTTTTGTGCAATTGTAAGTTGCTCTTCTTGTAAGAAATGCAAGTTTTGCCCCAGGTATCCTGCAGTTCTGACCATTTAAAATTTTCTGTGTTAATAACCATGCCTTGCAAAAATAGAAATATGTATGGTTTGAAATTATAATGGGTCACCTCACAGAGTGTAATTTTGTCAAAGTTACCAGAAATAATGGTAAATATGAAATAAATTAAATAAATGAAGAATAAATGGGGGGTTTACCCCATTAGACAAAAAGCAAAGTATTTAGACTAGATCCAATTTAGGAAAAAAAACCTAAAAATACCACCACCCCAAACCAAAAATAACCCAGATCTTTATTCCTGCTGCTGTTCAGTGTAATATGCTTAGTCAAACACACTTAACAAACTACTGTATAAGGATAACCCATTGTGCATAATAATACTAATTAAAGCAAAGCATTGCAGTAAAAGGGAACATTTTATAGTAATGTTTGTAATTGAAGATTTAAGATTTGGAGCTGTTCTGATGCTCCTTTCCTCAGATATTTAATTTTATAAGCTAACTGATATGAAGTTAAGTACCAAAGAGACACTAAGGGCAAAAGCACTAGAACACCGAGTTTCAGAATATTACATTTTAAGGGAACAATTGGGTTCATAATTGGATCCAGTGAGTTTGAAGCCTGAAAAGATTAATTCTGAAATTAAGTTTATTGACCAATGGGTCAGTAAGCAAATTTATTTTAACTAAATAACCAAACCTAGAATGAGGACTGAATTCATAGAGGTTATAGACTCTGTTCACAGATATATTAAAGGATTATTTACTTGATTTGACTAAGACATCGGAGACAAAGTGACTGCAAGGTTGTCAGCCAGTATTTTATACTTGACCTTGTTCCTATTTTGCACCGCCTCCAAATCAGGAAAAAAGATGATAGATGTTTATGTTTACAGTGCAGTCAAATTTCATTTATACTAATAAACAAAAAAGGCATAAATCAAAAAAGTAAAAGTAAACAGCTATTTAGCAGCATGAAGATGTAAATGGTGATGGCTCTTTTTTCCCCATGCAGGGCAGTGATGGGCAGCACCATGTGTGTGTCAGTAGCACAGACAGACAGTGTGTTTTATGTTCTTTTATCTCATCTCTGTAGCAAGAATGAATGTGAACAATCAAACGGGGCTGTAAGAAGTCATACACATCTATTTATTTAGTCTTGAGTACTACTTACATTTTCAAATTATGTTTAAGGATGATGAAGTGCATACAACATCATAAAGCCTTAGTACTCCTGCCTGAGTAGTTTTTCGTTAATTAATGTATATCACTATGTGATTAGTATGGACATGTATATACAAATACATACTAAAAACTGGGAGTATAGAGGAGCTATCATTCCCTAGAATTATTGCTGAGGGTTGTCAGAAAAAGTTCTCTTGTTTTCAAGCTTAATTGTGCAGCCTAACAATGCGTAAGAAACATTTAACAATCTCCCTGTTAATTCATTGAGTAATGGGGGAAAAAAAAGTTACTTTCTTCTTTCTTATGCACCTGCAAAATTTAATTTGTAGAAAGATCATAATTCATGGAAATTTGGAAAACTGCGTAAAGCAACTTGATGTGAATAATTCTCCTGGTAAAGAAAAAAAAAAAAGCAGCCTTGCTGTTACATCTTCCTTTGGAGACACTTTCCATAATAAGTTTTGTAACACATGGGACT